TCTTTCTAAAACTGTTCAGGGCATCCATCAAGTGATCCATTCATTCCTGCCATTTATCCTAGGAGATTAACGGTAGAAGTATGATTCTTTGCAACCATACTGGTTACCAAACCCATTACTTCCCATGGACTCGGTTTCTTCTATCTCTGATGCTGACAGAAGGGCTCCATTCCCAGAAAATTAATACACAATGATGTACAATATACTTCGATTCATTCTTCAGTTTACTGAATCACAACATTTTGAAGCTGAGAGACATCTTAGAGGTTACCTGTTTCAAACTCTTCGTGTTACAATTTACCTGCTGCTCAGTATTGTCTGCAGACCAGCAATATCAGCATCACCCAAGAGCTTGTTAGAAATGCAGAATCCTGGGCCCCACCCCAGACCCACTGAATCAGATCTATATTGTAGCAATATCCCCAGGAAATTAGTATGTATATTACAGTTCGGAAATCACTGGGCTAGACCATAATATGTCTTTCTCCAGAAACCTCAGGAAGTTGAGGCAAGCAGACATTGGTGGGAAGCATGATTTCACCTTTTCTAAATGTGACAAATATTCCAATCTCCTGAAAGCATCATTTGTAATCTGGAAATAATAGCATTATGCGCCTTGCAGAGTTTTCATAATATAAGCATAACACAGATATGTACATGAAATGTATGTACATTTTATGGCATATACATAGAAAATATATGCAAAGTGCTTGGCGTCTAGTAGCTAATACAGTATAAAATAGCTCATATTATTTCCATCCTCATGCTTACCATTAATTAATACTGTACTCAACCAAAAGGAAAGCCAAAAATAATAATGAAACCATATCACCTTCCTTCCTTCCTTCCTTCCTTCCTTCCTTCCTTCCTTCCTTTCTTCCTTCCTTCCTTTCTTCCTTCCTTTCCTTTCCTTTCCTTTCTTTGTTCTATTTGTTAAATATCATTTTAACTTTTATATGTGAGTAAGATTTCTATGATATTTCATATTTCTAACTCCCTAGAAGATGACTGTTATATAGAAAATAAATAATAATGCCTAATTATTTCTAGTGCTGTGCTTGGAGATGAAAGAACTTATCCCTAAGCTAAGACATAACCAAAGGATCACAACAGTCCTCTAATAACTTGACTCTGGACCCTGTAAGCCTGGCCTCTAGGAGCCAGTGAGTATTTGCTGCCGCTGCTGCTGTAATTTTCTCAGAGGCTCAAATGCAAAAGGGAATGAACCCACAGATTTGGCAATAGAAGAGCTCACTTAAAAGATCTTCCATCCCCCAAAATGGCACATTTGTCACCTTCAAGGAAAACGGCTTGAAGAGGAAAAGGTAAAATAGAATTTTAGTATCCAAATCTAAATCAAACTTTGGAAAAAGATAAGAACTACAAAGTGTGAAACCATACCAAAATTATATTTTTGAAGGAAGAATTTTAGAGGGACTATGATGCTAACCTCCATTAGAAAACTGTGTTGCCCCGAGGCAGTGGCTCTCAACCCCTGCGGTGCAATAGAAATATGTAGGAAGCTTTAAAAACACTGAATGCACATTTCTGCGGGAGGGACCCATGCTTCAGTGTTTTTTCAAAGATTCCCAGTTGATTTTAATGTACAGCCAATGTTGAGAACTGCTGTCCGCCGGCAACAGAAACCTGGTTTTCTTTAAAGGTCAATCCACTGAAAGCTATTGGTTGCTGTTGATACAGAGATCCCAAAACTTAAAGTAACGGACTGAACTTCAGTGTGTTACCTCTTCTAGGTCTTTTCATCATTCCTCCAGGACTTCCAACGTAAGGGAAGGAGCCCCTGGACCAACATCCTCTAAGATGTTTATATGGACCAGTGGCCGGACCTCTTCATCTTACAGACATGATGAAAAAAGGTAACTAATTACGCCAACAGGATGCTGACAGGAAAGCATTAGGCAACCAAGCTTTATGTTTTGCAAGTGTTGATGTAGGCTGGGCTCTACATTGAGAGAATGGGGTTTCAGGCATTTTGGCCTTCCTCCTCCTTGTACTCTCCATGCTCACTCTCATCACATAGCTTTCTTTGCAAAGGCTATTCCCCATCAGAAATACCCATCACACATGCACATATGCGTACATATACACTCGTTACTTAGATAACTCCACCTCTGCCTTCAGATATCCATTCAATCAGAATCTCCCACCATCCTCTTGACTATCACACACTGTGTTTTACTCTCCCTTGAATCTCCAGCACCTACCACTAGCCTGGCACATAGTAAATGCTCAGTAAATACTGAACCGAAATGATGAAAACTGCATTGCAAGGCACTGGACCTATGGCAAGGAAGGAAAGCAGCAAGTATGAGAGGATACAAAGAGGATGGACAAGTCCATAGAGTCCTCAAATTTCTTGGAAGAATATCCTGGGGTAGGGGAAAAATGGGAGAATTAGAAGAAAAATTAAAGGGCAAAGGCAGTGTTAATAAAAGACAAAATGACAACCAGACAGCTCAATCCAGCCTTCCCACATAGGTTTAGGGAGTAAATACATTCATAACATCCTTCGGCCATTTTTAATTTTTTGTTTTCTTCCACATCTCTTTTTATTTCTCATTGGCCTTGTACTATTACTTGGGTTTGGTGAAGCTAAGTTTTAAACAAAACTGCCTGTACCAGCGTATTGCAACTTAAGCACGGCTCACCTGACTGCAGAGTCTGATAGAAATCAGGATTAATAAATGGTTCTGGGCACAAGAAGGATGGCCTAAGGGAAGTTTACTTGAATAGAGCTTTGGTAGCTAGTAATTTTACTTTTCCTTTTAAAATTTGTATTTCCTTACAGATAAAAAAGCCTTTGAAAATTTCTGAAAGCATAATTTTTCTCCACAATAATTATTACAGCAAAAATTTGGAAGCAACTTTAATATTCACAATAGAAAAATCTCTTAAATCATGAAATATAATATATCACTTAGCATTTTTAAATGTTTTGTCATAATATTAACTAAAAAAAAATCAAGTTGAAAAATTGCATACAAACTATGATTGTAGCCACCAAATATATCTATACATATACATAAGAAAAAGCATGGAAGAAATAGCATGTTTGCACTTCTCCATTTCTCAAGTGCCTTATAATATGTTATATTAATTATGGAAAAAATAAATGATATGATGTTTAAATAAAATTACAGCCCAAAAGGCAACTAGTGTTTGAACTCATCATGATACAATCAGATCAACCAAAAATTTACCATCGTTGTTCATCTCTAAGTTTTCACACGCTTTTTCTCAATGCTTATTCAGCTCATTTTTCATTTGCTTTCAAGCCAACTAAGTTGATCATCTTTCAACAAGACCTCTAAGACTAAAATCTCATGTGTCATTTCAAAATTCCATATTTTGTATGTCATTTCTTCATTTCCTTAAAAAAAAGGGGGGGAAAAAGTGCACTGCCAGTGATGATGCAGAACGTCAGAGGTTCTGTCGCCCCCCAGGAATGTTGTGACGGTCAGTGGCCAGCCCTCCTGAGATTTTGAAGGCTTCATCAGAGTAGGTGAAACGTGATATATTTGTTTCACCTTCTATTTATTCTCATCCAATAATTTAATTAAATACATTTTGTTCTATATATCTTTTTTTTATAAACGAAAGGATTAACATTTAAGAAGAAATTACTGCATACTACACGTTTTTCATCAACTGTTCTCTTTCAATTTATAAGATAGGGATTATTATGTCCATTTTACAGATGAGGAAGCTGAGTCTCAGAGATTTTTAAATAACTTCCAAGGGTCCAACAACTAGCCGGTAATTTAAATCAAGGTTTGAACCCAAGCTCGTACTCTCTCCCCTACATCCTTACGACTTATATAACATCAAACTTAAGAAATCTGGAGAAGCTGTGAACAGAGAAGCCCACAAGGGGTAAATTGTGTTAAGATAGGGTTAAAGCTTGTATATTAAAGGAGGTGATAAACATGTGACTTTGACATATTGGCAATAATTGTAGAGTTAAAAGGAGAGAATAATTAGCTTTGCATTATGCACCAATAAGATTTTATGAAACTCTTAAATTACTGCTTTCATTTTTTTTAAAGTATGATTTTAGTAACTATGAGACTTACAAACTAAAATATTGACTATAAGTGAATCATTTTCAGCAGGCTTTATTTATGGGATGGGGATGCCAAGTATTACAAAATCAATTTGCATGGCTTTGGCCTACAAAGTCAAAGACAAATGGAAAAACAGCCAACAAATGCAGTAATAGCATCTGCCATTAAGCCAGTATCCTTAGTTTGATGTTGGTTCATTGTCTGTACCTCTTTCTTAACCACATTTTCATCTTCACTGCCTATGCACAGACTCATTGCAGGGTAAGACTCAGATCTTAACTTTGAACAGCATCAACTGCTCTGCTTAAGATGCTCTTGGTGGCAGTAATCATGGTGATAATGAAGGTGATGATGGCTGATAATGAATCTAGATAATTAAAGTCCTCAAGTTAATTATTCAGAAATAAATTAACTAGGTTATCTGACAGCACTGTCAAGAACTGCTGGTAATTGTTTCACTCTCAGTTTCTTCTTATCCTGCCAACCTGGCCTGTGTGTCTGGCTTTTCCAGCTGTGCTCCTACAACAATCCCAGAGGCCAGGCAAGCAAAAGTCCTTGGCTCCCCTCCACACTGCCCCTCTGATACCAGCGCCCAATTTGTCAGGATATTGAACCCAGGATATTCCCTGGGTTCTTCAAGTGGTGGAACATGAGGAAACAGCTTTCACACAGGTGCAGCAACTGACAGGGGAAGTCCACTGAAGTTTGAAACCAAGTTCTTTATAGATCAAGGGAAGTTGAAGTCAATTTGCAAATTTTTTTATTGTTTTAATTCAAAGCCATTTCTTTTTCTAATCATTTGCTTTATGCAAAACACTGATTTCTGTCCTTATCCTCCCTTCCACAATCCCAGCAAGATAAAAGAATACTTTTTCTTCTCTGAAGAAACTTCTTGGCTAGGTGAGCTTACATTAATTCCTAAATTGCAGGTAGTGAAATAAAACAGCAGCAGCAATTACTAATTCAGAATTTAAAAAAGAAAGAGGTTATCAGCTAAGGACATTACAGCTGAGTGTTTATGAAACATGCTTTGGATTGTTTTATTAAATATGAATTGATATAAAGGAATACATATCACATGTTAACATATAAAGAATGGTGATATAATGAACATCCAAGTATCCTTCAATAAGCTTAAAAAATAAAACACTCAGAATTTTTGAAGCCTTAAGGATGTTGCTCTGATAGCATCCTCTTTCTATCCTAGCTCCCATCCCGAGATAATCAGCATCCTAAATTTTGTGTTTATTATTCCCTTGTTTTTCTTCATGGGTTTGTCACATTTGAATCCTTAAACAGTATGTTGTTTATTTCCAAATGTTTGGAGACTTTATATAAATGGAATCATGCCATATGAATTGTTCTGCAACTCACTTTTTTTTAACCAAACGCTATATTCCTAGGATTTATATGTGAGTAGCTGTAGCTCATTTTCTCTCTTGCAGTCTGCCATTATATGCATGTACAGCCTTGTATTCACCCAGTCTCCAGCTCGTAGGCATTTGTACTATTTCCAGTTCTTTTTGTACCAACAGTGCTGCTGTAATACTTCCTGTTGATCTCTCCTTGTACATGCACAAACACTTCTTAGGATATATACATAACTTGGGAAAGGTTGGTTCCGAAATGGCACACAGCTCCCACTTTACCAGGTAACGCCACTGCTTTCCAGAGCCCTGGAGATGATTCTACTGCTCTACAGCCTTGCCTGGAGTTTTCTGATTTTTTATTTTCATCAACTCAGAGGGGATTGTGCTTTATATTCCTATTTCTCCATTAATAATAAGATTAAGCCTATTTCTCCAGTTCATTCTGCCAAGTATCTGTTCAAAATTGTGGCCCATTTTTCTACTGGATTGTTGTTGTCTTTTACTTATTGATTTGTAGGAATTCTTCATAAAAGCCTATATGAACCCTTTGTCTGTTTATTGTATACAAATAGCTCCTTCCAATTTGTTATTTGTGTTTTCATTTTCTTTGTGATGCCTTTTCATGAATATGTGTTCTTAATTTTAATATGGTCTAAGGTAGCAATTTTTTGAATATTTTGAAATCCCTTCAACTCCAAGTTCAAAAGTGCATGCTCCTGTAGCGTTTTCTTAATATTTTATAGGTTTGCCTTTTACAATTAAATTTCAATTATCTGAAGGTTACTTTTGGGTGTGTTGTGCAGTAGGCATCCAATTGTTTTTTTCTATGTGGATAACCACTTCTTCCAGCACCTTTTATTGGATAGTTTATCCTTTCCCCAATGATATAAAAGCACATACGTATCATATTAGGTTTCTGTATATGCATGGGTATGTTTCTGGATCTCTAGTCTGTTTCACTGGTCAATTTTGGCTACTACCTCAAACAAACACCACACTTGAGCTTCCATGCTTTAGCATTATAAAACACCTTGGTATCTGATAGGACAAGTCTCCCACCTTGTTCTTTTGTAATCAGGAGTATATTTGCTATCCTTAACATTTGCTCTTCCATATAAATTTTAGAATCAGCTTTTCAAGTCACACCTACCTCATTTCCCAAAAAAAAAAAAAGTTCTTGAAATTTTTTATTGGAACTTTATAAAATCTGTTAATTAATTGTGGTAAATTTGTATCATGTCACCAAGTCTTTCTTAGAAAGAATACGATTAATCTCTACATTGATTTAATTCTTTCCTAATATCTCCCAATTAAGTTTCATAATTTCTCCAAAAACAAGTTGCACATAGTTCACTAGATTTATTCCTAAGTGCTTTCTTTTTTTCAATGTTTAAATTACCTTTTCTATTTTTGTAGGTATAT